ATTTCTTTATATATATAGTCAATTTGACCAGTGGTCAAGCTATAGTCAAGCTATATAGTAAATTTCACCAGTGGTCAAGCTATATAGTCAATTTCACCAGTGGTCAAGCAATATAAATAGTCAATTTGACCAGTGGTCAAGCAATGTAAATAGTCAATTTGATAAATGGTAAAGCTATATAGTCAATTTGATCGGTGGACAAGCAATGGTCTAACTGACCAGTGGTCAATTTATATAGTCAATTTGACCAGTGGTCAAGCTATATAGTCAATCTGACCGGTGGTCAATCGACTAAAGTCACATTTGGCTATTGCTTCACCACTGGTCTCTCTGACTTTAGTTGACCTCTGGTCATCATTTAACTTGAAATGAGGGAACATAGAGCTGAGGGAACAGAGCGGTTTGTCAGGGGCTGTTCGATTATAATCTTACACCTGGACGGTGGGGTGGGTCTTTGGCTCCTGTAAGAAAAGTGTAAGAAAGGGTGGGGGGGCTTGAACCAATGTAATATTATATTGCACTTCAGTGAGGTGAAAAGAATTAGGGGGGAAAAAAGGTGACTTGGTCAAGAAAGGCTGCATGGTGTGCAGAGGCCACAAGGAATGTGGAAAATATTTTCCAAGTAATGCAGCATCGACGGCTTTACACAGGAAGAAATGGAGGTGGAGGAAGAAGAGGAGACAGAGCAGGAAGTTGGAATGGGACCCACATTTGGAAAACAGCTCAGCAGATGCCCCTGTTTTTAAAAATATGTTTGACATAATGATGAACAGTGCCTTTGTTAATGATAAATAATTTCACTTTTTGTTTTAAGCATAATGATCAGTAATAACATTCGCCCAGTCTGAGTGAAGAGTTTTCTGTGTCAGTGTGGTAAAACCCCGGCCGGGGGACGAAAACTCGGGATTGTGTTGGCAGGACGGCAGTTCATACTCCGCCTCTGTCCTCAGGAGATACACTGTCTGGCGAACAGGGAGACTCTGGCGCTAGAGCCTTCTATGACTTTAGTGATGGTCGCTGTGTGATCTGGTAAAAAGGTCTCGTTGTAACAAACTGATTGTCCTAATGGGTGCAGCCCCAAGGCGTATGCTATGACGCTCAGGAGTGGTGCGGTGGCTGGTCCTCGATACGCTGGGGTGGGACTCTGTGAGCAGATTCTTTCGCTTTTTACTTCCGGCTTATGGCGTCCGGTTGCGGATACTGGCCTGGATCTTGTGCATTTGGCACAGGGGGACAGAAGTTTGGGTTTGATCAGTAATAACAGATACAGTAGAAATTCTGATAAAGTGAACACTTGCTTACAGTCAACACTTCACCGTGTAGTCCCGTTTCTTACCTTCTTTGTTTAAGTAATTGTGTTTCTGATACATGTACAGTCGACCGCTTGAGTTTTAACCTTGTGTAAAGTCAACAATTAGGGGCTCAATCCTAAGATGAATTCAATTAAGGCAAGACCCGGGTCAGCGATCCCAGGCAATATCGATAAAAATTTTCTAACTATCCAACTGTTGTTTTTTGCGGAAAAACATCCTTTGACGTCTATTCTATTGGGTCACAATGAAGAAACTGTTGAAAAAACACCTTAAATGGCCTAAAAGAGCGTTTGAAAAGTGCAAATTGCTCTAAAAATCCTTTTAAAAATCCCTGTTTTTCTGTTTTTCTCAAAATCTACTTTTTTACATATGTGACCTCCTGGGTGCAAAGTGTTTTCAAAAACTACTGAAGCTAGAAGCTTCAAATTTGGTGTACATGTGCTTTAAGATCGATTCTTGGGATCTGTGTAAGGGAGTTGGGAAATATTGGTAA